CTAAATCACGATAAAAAAATCCGTGTTCTTCGACTAACACTAAGTGTGTGCAAAGTTTTAGCTATTGCAATGCTGGAGACCATGTCCTAGCGAACTGCAGTCCGTTTGGTTGACTGTCAGTAATGCAAAGGTTCGATTTTGTCGAATCTGTTTCCTTGTGAATCAATTGTCTGCGAAAACGTTATACAGTTTCTAAATGCAAGTGTAGAAAATGTCGAGTTTTTGGTCGTTCGCATGACGTTTTACTGCATAGGTATACCGTTTCCGAAAATAGTTTAGCGTTGCTACCAAGAGAGTCTTGCTCCCTCTAAAAGTCAAGATCAGCCTTCCACGTTACATGTTATGCATTCGACATCATTAGGCAGGGTGATTTTGGTCACGTCGGTTGTAAGTGTCCGCACAAAAAGCGGTGAATACATTTTGGTCTGAGCACTTCAAGCCAATTTTGAAAACAGAAAACCTTGCTCGCTTACCGATCCGTAAAGAGGAATCGTGTATCAACTTACTTGGTATTGGCGAATCCAATTCTCAAGTTAAGAAAAACATACACACAGTGGTGAAGTCGCAAATAAATGGTAGAATAATGGTGGTCGATATCCGGGTATCGTCCTGACCAGTGGGACGATAATTCCAAAGAACGTACCATTCGCAAACTCCTTTTTCTTCAAGCCACAAATAATAGATATGCTGATAGAAGCAGAATCATTTTTCGAGCTATTAGCTGTTGGTCAAATTAAACAAGGTCGTGACTAGCCAACTCTTCAAACGACACTTCTTGGATGGGTTGTATTAGGTTTTGCCATCAGGTCGGTTTGAAGAAAGATTGCCGTTTAAATCTGAGCCCACTGGATTGGGCAACTCATTTGAGGTTGCAAAAAGGAGGTTTCTGTCGCTCGATAGAAGGTTGTCTCGAGATCCTTAGTTAAATAAAATGTATCTCGAATTTGTGGAAGAACACCTCGCGATAGGTCATATTGGTCCTACAGACCATACAATTTCTTTGACTCCACATTATATCATTCCAGAGTACGTCTACAGAGTTGCGTGTCGTGTTCGTCACCTCTTGTAAAACTTCGTCCCAGGTGTCCTTAAATGATATCTTGATGGTAGGCCCAACTATTCAAGATGTGTTGCACTGCACACTGCTCCGCTTCCGGCTGCATAGGTTTGTTCTGACAGCCGATGTTAAAAAAATGTTTCGTCAAGTAATGATAAATGAAGCAGATCATAGTGTGTAGACGATCTCAGATCTATCAGGTCTAAAGTGTCTCAGGTTCTTCGAACCGCCGGTTTTGAATTGATAAAGTGGTTTTCAAACTCACCTGAGGTCACCGCATCTGAGAGCACAGTTAAATCCATACCGATCTCGGATTCAGAGTCGACGAAGGCGTGAGGAATATCGTGGTTGCCTAACGATAGTTGATAGTTCCGTCATGGGTCTCAGAGCGACAAAGCGGAACATATTATCGGTGACATCGAAGCGGTTCGACCTCCTCGACTTGCTTAGTCCTATCGTAATCAGAGTTGGATTGGGATGAGTCGATTCTTGTGCATTTGGAAATTGCGTGGAATAAATTAAAAAATACATTGTCTCGTTTGGAAGAGATATCAATTCCTCGGTTTGTGCACACCGATCAGAGGTCACCGGTTCAATTCCATGCCTTTGCCGACGCATCCAAGAGAGCTTATGGAGCTTGCGTCTATATTCATAGCAAAACTGAAGAAGGTTTTAAACTGTCATTACTGACTTCAAAATCTAAAGTAGGGCCGCTCAAGACTAAAACGCTCGCAAGGCTTGAGTTATGTGCCGCTCACCTTCTTGCAGATCTCTGTCACCGAATCAAACCCCTATTAAAGGTCCCTATTGAACGAATAGTATATTGGTCGGATTCGGAAGACACGTTGCATTGGATTCGACCCCATCCGTCTTCTTTGTCGATATTCGTCTCAAATAGGGTAGCGGAGATTCAGGAGTGGTCAGGAGAAGCTACGTGGCGGAATGTCCCAACTAAACAAAACCCAGCAGATATTATATCAAGAGTTTGTGACAAAGATGAAATTAGTAACTCAATCTGGTACGGAAGTCGGAATTGGTAGATGTCATTAAGGGATTTTCGTCATACCTCAAGCTGCTTAGAGTGTTCGTTTACATGTTCCGCTTTATAGGGAAATGGAAAGAGAAAAGTATAGTACATATTTGAAAAAACTTTGTCACCGACTGAAGACTGAAGCCTTTTTAAAGATTGTCAAGACCATCCAGAAACAGGAGAATCACGAAGTACTAGAACAAATTCGGAAGTTCCAGAGTTGGCCCAAGTCTTCAACGAATGAACCCATTCATTCATGAAGACTCGGGTACTTGGTGTAATTTTTCGTTGCTGCGAGTTGGGGGGCGATTTATCGTTTACTTTATTTATCCTTTATCGTACGAGGCTAAGTTTCCACGGCTGTTGACAAAATGCTCCCAATTTGTGCAGAGCTATGTCCGGCATCTTCATGTATCCAATTTTCATGTCGGGCCAGAAGTACTTGTGAGTCTCCTTCGACAGCGTATTTGGATCGTAAACGCTCAGGAGGTCAGCAGTCATTTAGTTCGATCATGTAAGCGCTGCTTTAAATGCAAGCCTCGACTAATGACGCAAATTATGGGAAATTTACCCGCAGATCGTCTCAGTGCTCTCCGCCCATTTACTATCTGTGGCGTTAATTTTTGTGGACCCGTCTATACGACATTGAAAATTCGTGGAAGGCTTCCTTATAAGTCCTACATAGCGCTGTTTGTTTGTTTTGCGTCCAAAGCGGTTCATCTAAAAATTGTTTCTGATTTAACCACTAACTTCTTTTTATTGGCTTTCCAAAGGTTCGTTGGGCGCCGAGGATGCCCTCGCACAGTCCACTGCGACAACGCGACGGACTTCGTCTGAGCTAGTCGCCAGGGCCTTCGAGAGCGCATCGAGAAGGAAGCGGGCGCGATACGCAAATTCGCATAAAAAAGTGGTTGCGAGTTTGTATTCACACCGACTCGGGCTCCTCACATGAGCGGGCTTTGGGAGGCAGGAGTGAAAACTGTAATGCACCTACTCCAACGACCGGTGGGCAGGGCGCTCCCAAGCGCGGAAGAGCTGGTTAGGCTCTAGTAGGAATAGAGGCGTCATGAACTCCCGGCCACTAGCAGCACTCTGCAACGACCCCAGCGATGGAGAGGCGTGGAAGCCCGGGCAGCTTCTCACGGGCGGGCCGTTATTCCCCATGCCAGCAGTCCGGACCCCGGACCAGCCGGGTCTCAGTTGCTTGTCAGCTTGTCTCGTCAGCCAGCGAATGTTTACCTAATGTAATTTTTCGTTTTCGCCAAATAAAAAATTATCTTTACAGACATCCAAAGTTTTAGGTTTTAATAATTAGAAAAACTATTCTTATTTTCCAAGCTGCTCCTGAATCGTATAAAGTAACACCTACAGTCCCATAATACTATCACAGGTCTCGAATTTAGTTTCCGCTAGAAATACGGAACCATTGAAAAACTAAACCGAATAACTCCCGATATACGAAATAAATTTTAAAGTCGAAAGTAGTGTACCGCAGTCTTTCTGGATGTCGCCCAGGCCTTCGACCTTCGATCAAATTTAAACTTTGCTTCCACAGAACACCCATAAAATACTGAAGGCATATCTTGTGCATAGATGTTTCGCAGTACAATGTTAAGATTTCCTCTCTGAATACCATCCAATTGATTCTGGAGTCCCTCATGGTAGCTTGCTTGGACCAACGCTGTATGTAATTTACACAGACCTTCTGACAATACCAAATCGATATAAGTGCAGAGCATCGCAACATTTATCAGTGAACATGTCACCTTTACCCTTAACAGATAGGCTTGCGCGGTCACTGACCGCCTAACACCACTCCGGCGAAGAGTCCTTCCCCACCCAGTAACAATAGCTAGGGCCGTTCTTCTAAAAAACTTTTATTTAGCTAATTAAATATATCTATTATGATACAATTTGAATACTTGTCATCAGTCTCGAGGAGAGGAGATTCGTATAATAAGATCCCGTACTTAAAAAAAATGTATAAGACGAGACATTAAATGATGTCAGATGATGTGAAAAGATGTTTTGGTACTGCAGTCTGTGAACCTGCAGTGACAACTTGGGCCGGTAGTCCGGTCTCAGAATCCTCTTGTGGGGGTATATTTAATTGGTTAGGTGGAGCCACAGGTTAAGAACCATATTCAGACAAATCGGAACTATTTATAAGCCCAGGTCGCAAACCCTCCGCTATGGATTGATTGGGGTCCGAATCTTTTTAGCTGCCGATCTTCACAACACTTGAGGGGCTGATAGATTCGACTACTCATCCACAACCGAGTTCTGGTGGTTACCTTTAAGTTGCGGGTTGTTACCCTCAGGCCTACTATTAACTATCACAGCTATGCCAAAACCAGTGATTAGCCCCTTTAAGCCGCGTGACAAGCTTCACGATTCTATTGAACAGATTATATAAGTGTAATATGTTTTCACTACTACGGACCACTGTGCCAAGATAAAAGTCTAATCAAAATTTGTTTTGAGCAAGAAAGTAGCAAGAACAAAAAGCAGGTTAATCATATTGTTAGCTAATTGCAAAAACAACCACTCGTGAAGCAAAAGGTTTAGGAAACCAAGTGTTTAAAAAAAATCTTATCAAATTTGTAGGAAAGCAAGAAAGTAGCAAGAACAAAAATCAGGATAATAATATTGTTAGCTGATTGCAAAAATAATCACTCGCGAAGCGAAAGGTTTAGGAAACCAAGTGTGTAAAAAAAAAAATTCAAATATAAAATGAGAGACGTCATGTAAGCCTTGAGAAATAATGTTAAGGGCTCACTTTATACTTGACTCGATGTAGTGTGATTAGGCTATAAAGCAGATTTGATGCAAGTGCCGTTAATATAAGGCCAAAACAAGTTTTAATCGATATTTTTTAATGTCTATGAAACATCCATATGTTATCGTGTTATCGTTTCTGGTCGTTTCAGCCGTGGCCATATGTTCTTATAATCATATTGTGGACTGAAGCTATAGGGAATCTAATGAAAGATTTTTAATTCCGAGTAATAAGTTAAATAAAAACGCTTTTCAAATTGCTTAGTCTCCTATGTAAATGTTTTCAAAACTTACAACTTTTAACATATTTCACTAGCTGTCTTTTTGTTGATGACAACATGTCCGCATATACCAACAAGTCGGGTGTGACATCTATTTTAAAAACATTTTCCGCTGCGGCGAAAGCCAAAGCAGTGGCGGCAAACAAAGTTCGATTTTCCACTCCTAAAGAAAAGGGTCTTGCTGAATCAGTGCGAGTGGCCGTAGAAGAAGGAAATTTTCATTTCGTGAAGGAGTTTACCTTTTTTATTCAGGAAGCTGAGCTAAACGTATGTTTTTTTGGCACAATATAATAATATAAGTTTATTTATCGTATAGATATATGTTCCGAAAATGTTCTCAAAAAATTTCAGATCCAAATTTGAAATATTACAAAAGTTACAGGCCCTTACATGGAGCACATGTCGCGCACCGGCTATTGGAAGCCAAAACTTTGAACGCGTTTATCTCGGAACCACGTTTTCGGACCTTAGGCTGCAAACATAGTGCGCGCTGAGGCGAAGATTTAAATGAAGCTGAAGACGAATTGTTTGCGTTGCTAGCAAGCTAAAAGGTTTCATAGTGGAAGACGAATTTGTTGCGATTTTGTGATGTTATTCGCAATGGATTTCTCATCAGATGATGAGCTGCTGTTGGAGGAAAGTTAATTTGGGTAGAAAAGCGTTCGGCGAATTTCATCATTTATTTAATGAGCTGCGTAAAGATGAAAAAAAATTTTGGAGTACACCAGAATGAAAATCAGCACATTTGATTACATTCTGTTAAAAATTAAACCGCTAATTATTAAAAATTGGACAAATTTTAACAAAACCCCAATTATACCTGTGTAAATTGTAACATGCGCTGTGCCGAAGCATGGGATCTTTATCCCAGCGCGCACTATGTTTGCAATCGTCATCAAATTTTTTTTAAATGTTCCTAATTGTTTCCTTTAACTTATGAACTAGGATTCTCTAAAAATATTGAAAACTGTTTACTTGAGAAAATAATTACTGGGAAAAAAACGCGAAAATCGTAATTTTTTCTTCAAAAACTAATAACTTTTGTAACTTTAAATTTTTTTCTGATCCTAGTTTATTTTATGCACAGTACTGTACACTTTAAGAATCTTTTCGGTTTTTGTGTTTCCGATTACCCGTTTTGGCTGAATCACTTCCGTAAGCGGGACACCTTTTTGCGGAAATGTTGCAACTGAGGAACGCCCCCTCCCGCTCCTTTTTTGATTTTTCAATTTTTAAATTTTTTTCGCAAAATAAATATGTTTTCAAATAAAGTTACAAATTTCAGATTTTTATCTTTAACAGTTTTCTCAAAACTTTTTTTTTTTAAAAGTGCCATTTTTCTGCCCCACAAGGTGAGAACCTGCCCTGTATGCGTGCTGCGTGGATTGCAGCGGACAGTCCTTTAGAACTGTGCTCCTAATATGGTAGTTTACCAGCTTTTCCAATGCTTTAGACAAAACGAAGTTAAGCTGATAGGTCTGAAGGACATGGGGTTGGTGATGTCTTTCTTCCCTGCTTTGGGGATGAAGACCACCCTAGCTCTACGCCACGCATTTGGGATGTGTCCAATTGCTAGGCTGCTCAGCATCAGTACCCTTAAGCGGGTTAGGAGAAAATCCAGTCCCTGGATTATCTTTAACAGTTTTCTCAAAACTTTTTTTTTTAAAAAGTGCCATTTTTCTGCCCCACAAGGTGAGAACCTGCCCTGTATGCGTGCTGCGTGGATTGCAGCGGACAGTCCTTTAGAACTGTGCTCCTAATATGGTAGTTTACCAGCTTTTCCAATGCTTTAGACAAAACGAAGTTAAGCTGATAGGTCTGAAGGACATGGGGTTGGTGATGTCTTTCTTCCCTGCTTTGGGGATGAAGACCACCCTAGCTCTACGCCACGCATTTGGGATGTGTCCAATTGCTAGGCTGCTCAGCATCAGTACCCTTAAGCGGGTTAGGAGAAAATCCAGTCCCTGCTGCAGGAATGATGGAGAGATACCATCCAGACCAGGTGACTTAAATGGTTGAAAGGTCCCAATTGCCCATTTAAGTCTCTCCGGAGAGACTAGAGACTTGGCAATTGCCCAGTCTTCTACGCTTGGTCTGAGGCGTCTCGGAGTGGATATTGCTTCCATTGGGGTGGACGTTTCTTCCTCCAGGGGTGAACTCCCAGGGAAGTGTGAATCAAAGAGTAAAGCTAGTTTATCCCTGTCGTCGGAAATGTAGTTGTTATTACATTTCCTCAGGGCTAGGTTACTTTCAGGTGCAGCTTTAGCCCTAGCCTTGTGCAATCCTGCCCCTTCATGGGCTGTGCTGATTGCATCACAGAAGTCCCTATAGTTCTTTCGTTTTTATTTATATACAGTAGAATCCGCTTATAGCAACTTTCAAGGGACCGACGATTTTTCGTCGTTATACCCGGAAGACGCACTAAGCAGAAGGATTTAAGTGTATAAGTCTGTCTGGGGACCAATCAAGCCATCGAGTTTTCATCACAATACCCGGTCGGACACTATAAGCGGAGTCGTTATAACAGGATTCTTCTGTATATAAATAATGGCAAACAAATTATATCGTCATTGCTTTTAATTTCACGACCACGATTTTTACAACATCGACTTTTATAACTACCCTTAAACAGAGAAAAAATTTCATAAAAATCGGACAACTATTTCATATAGCGGCCATAGGAAAGATCGAAAAATCTATATAGATAAAATGATAACATCGTTGTTTTTCATCAGACAATCATGGTTTTTGGAATTTAGACTTTTTTACGACTTTTGAATTTTGAATTAAATTTCTGTCTGTCATAAAAAAATCGTCTAAAATATGGAAAATAAATAGAAAAGTCGTGTTACATAGATTCGATGTTGTTTAGCCTTTATGTATTTTGTTCGACATATTTCAAGACTGCAAGTCGGCTTCCCGAAGCTTGCTTCTTTTCTTGTTAAAAATATTTTTTTTGCCATAAACTTCGACCTAACTATTTGTAATTAAGGCCAAAAATTCTTACTAATTTTTATTATTTTTGGATTTCGAAATTCTGAATTCTCGGCCCTATTAATATTTTATATTGAAATGCTTGCTAGATCTTGCTATCCCCAAATACATTGAAAAAAATGAAACACCACAGATTATACTTGTTCTTAAAATATTAGGTATGAAAATTTAATTTTCTTTCTTTTACGGCAGGTGGTAGTATTAAACAGTGTATAGCTGACGTATTATTTTTGTAATGATCCATATATGTAAAACGTAAATTTTCCGTTTTAACCAATTATGACCTTAAGGGTATCCTGCTTGGCGTTATCCTGCTGAAGCTAGCTTCCTTTATTGTTGTTAATTTTTCTACTTAAATGCTTTCTTTATTTTTCAAGGATGACGAAGTTTTGACAATCATTCAAGATGCTAAAAGAAATATTCACAATTTAACTCCTGATTTTGTAAACCTGGTTGAGTCTCTGCTGTCACTTAGCTGGAATAGACGCAATTCTGAGATTATGGAAGCTTATACTGAATTTTGCGTTGACATTATGGTGGTTCATAATAGATATTTACCCATTGGAGTGTCTAAATTAATTGTCCACTGGATTCCTGACGACACGGACGCACAAGACTGGGTGAATGGCTGTCCCCAGGAACATACTCGATATCAGTTGAAACCTATTCATAGCGTATTGAACCGCATTTTAACTGCCGTGCCGATGGCTTTTGATGTAGTCAATGATGCCATATCTGCCAAATTTCCTTATTTCAAAAAACAACCTCATGTTACGGCGGGGTATCTGTTTAATTTGCTTTGGCTAATCGAGTACAAGCCGATATTTGAAGAATTGACTTTGCAGCTGGTACTGCAAAAGTAAGTATTTTAGTATTAAACTTGTTATACCCTTTCAGATTGTATAATATTATTATTAAAGGAGACATCTCGTCCCTAAAAGCGGAAGTACTCAACCTCTACGCTCTGAGTCTTCATTTGTTTTTATAAATTACTACAAAACTTTTGGTAAAGTTTCAGCAAGATAACTTTAAAACTGAGAGACTAGTTTACATAGAAACAGACAGAAGAATAGTCGTACAGACGACTTGATTTCTTCCAGATGATGTTTTTTAAGTACTATCGAATTTCAAATTAAATTGCATAAAAATCGGACAACTATATCATATAGCTGTCGTAGGGGAGAGAGAAAAATTGTTTTGTTCCCACGTTGTTTTTATCCCACGAGCAAGATTTTTAGAACACTTCGTTTTTTAAATGCCCTTGAAATTGAAAGATTTCATAAAAAGCTGACAACTATTGAAAGATCTTTATACAATTAACGGAAAAAAGATAACATCGTTGTTTTTCGTCAGGTAATTATAATTTTAAGAATATAGAATTTTCTAATGACTCTCGAATTTCGAATTAAATTTCATTAAAATCGGACGACTTTATCATATAGCTGTCATATGAACAGTCGTCGAAAATACAGAAACTTAATAGAAAAATCGACATAGATTCGATTTTGTTTAAGATTTATGCCTTTAGCCTTTTAAGGTAGATAACAGATGTAACAGATATACTTGGCATAGAAATAAGAAAATTGATGAAAAAATTCGACAGATGCATGTAACAAATTTCTTGAAAGTATAGCCTTGTGTTGAGGCAACTCGTTTAGTACACTAACATGAGTTACTGCTAGATAAAATAAGTAAAAATATGTTAATATCAATTTTTATAGTGAGTTTTTTGCAGATATGAGATAATATTACATTTTTTGCTTGCAACAAAAAATATAATTGAAAATCCGTTTTATCCGAATATATTCTAATTTAATTATCCTGAAATCTTTTTATCCTTTTCAGGCTTTTAATATTAGATGTAAATGCCCCGCGAGATGAAATTTTTGTGGAAACAGAAGATGATGGGGAAATGGATGCAGACAGCATGTTCCAAATAGATGATACAAACGCTGCTACATTAGCGAACAATGAAAAAACGGTGGACCATCCTGTCGGCAAAACTTTAGATGTATGCCTTCTAATGCTTTATAAGTTCTTGGAAGACAAATGTAGCATTAATCAACAAAGCAGCGACCAACAGCGTTGGATGGCCAACCGCCTGTTTAAGAGTTTAATGTATATATTCGATGAGGTTCTGTTGCCCAGCCACAACACCCATCATGTGCAATTCTTGATATTTTATGTCACTAGTATTCGTTCGGCGTATGCTGAGGCCTTTCTTAATTCTCTCTGGCAAAAAGTTAAAAATCCCAATATTTCGCCGATTATTCGCCACGCTGCAGTAGGTTACATGGCTAGCTATTTGGCTCGAGCCAAATTTTTGCCACTATGGTAAGAAGTGTGACAAATTTTAGATAGAAATGTTGCACTAATTTTAATTTCTTTTTTTAATTCTAGCACTGTTATCTTTTACTTGAAAGAGATGAGTAATTGGGCTCATACCTATATAGACGACTCGGATGCGAATAGCCAGTCTGGCTCGATGAAGGCAAACTTGGTTTTCTACTCAGTATGCCAGGCCGTATTTTATTTGATTGCGTTTCGTGCAACAGATTTGACTGCTACTTCAACGGGTATGCTAAAAAAATGTTTTAGGGTAGTCATCAAAGCTATACGAGGGTAGTGATGCGTTTGTTATTAAATGAATTTAAACAAGAAAGAGCTTCTTAGTCGAGTGCTTTGACTATTCTATTACACAGTTAGCTAATTTCAACAAAAAAAAATGGGAGTGAAGAAGTGACTTGTAAGATAGTTTTTTTTTCGTATATTTGTTTTAAAATGGCCGGTAGGCGATAGAACTCTCTTTATTATCTAAAAAATACCAGTATGGTTTTTCTATAAGTTTAGTGCGCATATTACATTTTTTTTTCGAATTTCATTTTTTATGTTTAAATTTTTTTGTCAAACCGTATTGCTGCGGGAGAGTCTAATATCTATTAATTAAAATGTATTAAGCAAATATACCGTTAGGCTTTTATCACAATGCTGTAAAATTTTTTTCTCCCAGCTCTATACTCTCGCACTCTTGCTCTCAGTAATGGAATCAAAAGCGCAGCTAGAATTTTTTTACCATGAAAAAAGAAATCGTATCACTTAAAAGGTGGCATAGATATTTTTGTGCATAATTTATGCACCTTAACCGAAAACAATCAAAAAAGTAACTTAAACAAAGATTTTGTTAAATTTTGTCGCACAGTGTTATCAATCGGGTCCTGTTAAGATTAAGCTTTTGCATTTTGGGAAGCACTGTTGGCACGTTTTTGCGCGTACGCAGCCGCTATGATATACCTATTTTCGTTTTAAGCCGCTGTTCTGTCTTTACCTAGACCCAATATATATGTTTTAGCGCTCAGTAAAATAGATTTTCTGAGTAACAGGGTGTTTCCTCTAATTTTTTACTGAGGAGCTAGGTTTCATTATACGCATGTTGAAAAAGAGTCTTTTAAAACGACCTTAAGGTATGCTAAAACTAGCTTTTTTAAGTCTCTGCATGTAACTGAGCTAGCTGACTTTTTTTGTGACCTTTACTAGAGATTTTAATATTTCATTTTTATTTTTTTCCTACAGACTTGCTTTTCTTACAGTCTCTTCAACTTTCCCGTCTCGCTATGTGTCATTTAAATCCTTTGCGATATTGTCTAGCACCAGTGGCTACAGCCTTTGCTGGTGTAACAAGAACTTACCAGCTGGCCTACTGTCACACTGTTTTGGAGCGCAACGCTCGTCGGAAACTAGCCACGGTGTACGGCCATGAAAAAAGTATGCCCGAGGAGACGCTCGAAACTTTTTTTCCTTTTGAGCCTTATTTGCTAAAGTTGTGAGTATTTTTGATTTTATTTTTTTGAGTCGTTTTTTAAACCCTATCAAATTTCAGATCGAATAAATATATTGAGAACATCTACATGGCTTATAATGGCAGTGACGCCGACGATGACTGTATGAACGAATCTGCGGAGGGTCTTCCTTCACGAAAACGTGGTGACTCTGAGATGGTCGAAGAAGATGAATTTATTATAGCGGACAAACGTCAAAAAGAACTGTCCAGAAGCCAAGAGTTAGAAAAACATTTTCAGTTTGCATCTTAGCCCAGACTTAGTACTAAATTCTTTGTTATTTATTTTGCGGAGTTTTTTTTTATATTTAAATAAATATAATGCTTTTCTATAAATTGAGCGAATTTTTTCTTTTCATTGTTTTTCTAGGATATATCAATATTTTTTAAATAGTGCTAGAAAAAATGTTGAATGAAAAATATTGTATTTATTAATATTGTGACGGTTTACCTCCAGAAGCGCCTTGAATAAAAGTTGTTTTGCGATGAACATCAGAACTCGTTACCGGATCAACCGAAACAAAAATATTAAAATGCATTTCAAAGGTAATGTATTTCTCGATTTAATTAGAAAAAGGTTTTTCTTTTTCTTGTTTTTTTGTTTATTTTTTGAAGCACTTGATAGTGAAAACTGCGATTTAAGCTCAAAAAAATCGATGTTAATTTATTAATTAATTAATTTATTATTCATTTAATTTAATTTAATTTATTAAAAAAATAGAAAAAAATTAAAAAAAAAAAACTTCCTGATTACCTGTTGATTTATGTCAAGAATTTGTGTTGAAAACGATGGGTTCAGTTAATATTGAGTTCTGATGTTCAACGATTTAAAAAATAATCTTCGGGATAATCGACTTTAAGTTTTTTTATACGTCAAAACACGTCAAAATTCGGTCTGTTAAAACGCTCTATCTCCGTACGTTAGACTCCGATTGACTCAGATTTTTTCACATTGTTCTTAACATATTATTTTTTTAGAAAAAAAAAAATACAAAACAAATTTTTAGACCTTACCCCCTCCCAAATAATCCTGCATGATTTTGTTTGTCTAAAATTTGAAGATATGGATTTAGATTAAGCAATTTACAGTATGCACCGTAAATACACAAATCAGCATAATGTTCGATTAGACTTAGACTTCGACTTTTCGTAGCCAGAAGAATGAAAGACAGATTTCAGACAGATTCATTAAGGCCACGTTTAGATGCAGGGCAAAACCTATAACAATCGTGCAATGCTAGGCCCCAAACCGAAGAAGCAAATGTCGACATCAAAGACGACCAAGCCAACACCCTACGCATCATAACTAAACAAGTTGTGGAATGGAAAGCCCCACTGTACCTCCTGTTCATGGATTCCAAGAAGGCGTTCGATTCAATAAATAGGGCAACGATATGGGGAGCGTTTGCTAGGAAAGGAGTACCGCACAAAGTCATCACCTCTTATAAAGGTGTTGTACGATGACGCCAACCTGACGGTACTGCACAACGGGAAGACAAGTGCACCTTTTCAAGAAAAACACAGGAGTCAAGCAAGAATGCCCACTATCCCCACTGTTTTTCAACATTGTGGTGGACGAGGTCATGAGAGAAGTGTGCAAACACAAGCGTGGAATCTAATGGAGCTTCACCAGACACCTTGAAGACTTGGACTAAGCAGACGACATTTTCCTAATCTCTCACAGACTGAGCGATATACAATCCAAAGTTGATGACCTTGTGAACCTAGCCAGCCGAGTGGGTCTACAAATTAACACTGCCAAGACAAAAGCGATTCACCTCAATCACTGGGAGTTTTTGAGAGTTAGTTTCCCATACCTTGGCACCGTAACCTTCAACAACGGTATCGTGTTAGAAGTTGTGACGAGTAGCCAAAGCCAGGCTTGCCTTCGGGAGACTCTACCGCATATGGAGAAGCCGGCAAATAAGTAAAATAGTACAGTCGAATCCCGATAATTCGTACCCCGCTAAATCGAAAATCGCGATAATTCGTAAAAAATTCTGTCCCCTTGAAAAAAACTCGTTAATTCGTAAAAATTCCATACATTTTGGTCCCCTCGTTAATTCGTAGTATTTGACGCAACGCAAAGAACATTGAACCTCTTATAAATCGTAATTTTGTTTCGTAACCTCTTATAAATCGTAATGCGATGCGAAATTTTTTGTAGTTAAAGCACCGTTAGATTTTGTAGACAGCTATGCCGCCTTTCTGTCGCTATGCATTATGAATTTTGTGTTTCTCTCGCTGTTATAATTTTATGTTATTGTTTAATTTTCCTTTAATTTGAAAAACGTACAAATGAATGTACATACTTATAATGTTTGTTTAATTTTAATAAAGTTAAATACATAACGACGCATTTCCGCAAAAGTATCGTATGCCGCTTTTTTTCGAAATTGAGATTTTAATACAAAATTGTTAGGCACCTAATGGCTCACTACCCTCTGAAATATTATAACTGAATGTTAAAAGTTTCAATTTTATCGTATGTTACAATGTGCGCGCGAAATTATCGTATGTCCATACAAATTGTTTTTCATTTGCATGGAAATACTGCAATCGCACAAAAATACCGAAATACAAAAATAAAGAAAAAGCTTCTCCTGTAAAATTTGATTTTTCAACATACGATACATTCGCGGAAATGCGTCGATATGTTAACATGATGTGAATGTAAAAACCCCGTTTATTCGACTTTTTCATTTTTGAGCCCCGTTAAATAGAAATCTCGATAAATCGAATTCCCGTCTAATTCGTAAAAAAAGTGATCCCCTTGCCATTTCGAATTATCGGGACTCGACTGTAGTATGGAAGCGAGAAAATAATCTCAAAAGAATATGCCGGTTTTTCTGGCCAAACCGAATCTCCAACATACCCCAGGGATTAGAGTGGAACCCACAGTGAAGCAGACGGGTAGGTCCTTCAAGAGCTGTCCCAATACATCATCACATGGGGCACAGCGAAACAGACAGCAGGAAATAGTGTAGGATGGAGAAATCTAATCAAGGCTCTATGGTCCCAGGTAGAAATATAAAGGAATAAAAAATATGATCAAAACCAAGAAAGGAAGCTAGCTCCGTCAAAGTGAAGCTGATATACCCTTGCTGTCATCAAATATGTCGAGCCAAATACATAATGCTAAACAGCATCGAAGCTATGCCGATTTTTCTTTGAAGTTTATATTATATTATGAGACAGCTATATGATATACTTAAAAATATTAGCTTTTCTGATGAAAAACAACGATGTTATAATTTTTTCCGTTAATTTCCGTTAAGTCTATATAGATTTTTCGAACTTTCCTATGGCAGGTATATGATAAAAAAGAAAATTTTACCTTCTTCACTCCTTCACCCGGGAGCATAGGGCCTCTACAATTTTTGTAAAGGATTCATTAATCTTTTGGTTTTCGATCGTACTGGTGATTAGCGGTGGGGTTATTATTGTGTCCATAGTAACGTGGACGAGGGGGTGTGCGGGTCCGGGGAGCCGAAATTTGTTACTATTGTTAAGGCCAGGTTCCTCTAAAAAATTTTGAAAAAGTGGAAATTTTTTTTTTTTTATAAATTGCTACTGTATACCTGTCGAAATAGTATAGAATTAGTCCCGAAGGTCAACAAGACCGAGAAGTATGTATAAAAGAGTGTAAATCTTCTTCCTCTTCTGTGGCGTAATCACCCGGTTTTTTTTTTTGGTTAGGCTTTTGACGCGACAATGTAGGCCTGGCGGAAAACAGAAAACGCAATCCCCGACGCCTGGCTTTTCGCCCGTGCTTAGCGTTTAGGACTAACTTCTGGGTTTGAGCTTGTTTGTTAGCGAGCCTCGCTCATTGCCCGTAGCAAAGGTTGCCCTAAAAATCTTTGTAGGTACTTTTATCGTCGCTTGACAACGAACGGACTGACTGCTCTGACCCACTTGGTAAGACTGTGTCACCAGACGCCATCCTTTTAGCGGTAACACCACCCATGGCTTTCTCAAGGTGAGATAATGCCCCAGAATCGGATGGGATTTGGCCGTATTGCTCTCATTTCCCTTTTCCTTTTTGTCATTTTACGGTTCCTCCACCCTGATGTTGGCGGTTGGTGAAGTCGCTATACGATCTTAGCGTCGGCAGACATAAGCGTTACAATTAACATATATATTTGAAAATGGGTTAACTAATTAAGGGATTATATACCTTCTTTGTCGAAGAAAAAGAGGAAAGTTCGGATTTTTTTTAGGTATGTAGCCAATTTTTAATTACACGGGTGTTTTAATTTTTTGATAGTACACTTTATTAACAATGTTTGTGCAAAATTTCGTGGAAAAATATTAAATAGTTTTTAAGGGGTGGCTGTTTCCCTTAGAGGCCTTTTCTTTGAAGAGCCTTGCGGTGATAATTCCCCAGGTCGAACGGGTCAACCGAAACCATAAAAGTAAAAAAATTTCATTAGTTTAGTGTAATTCCTTGTGCTTGAACGATCGGTTTTAAAATTTTTTTTTATGCATACGGGAACGTTTTATGCTAAAAATGAACTTTTTGGTCTCTAGAAATTTCACTAAAAAATTCATTTCGGCGTAAAAAAAGTTTGTGCTTGAAAAGTCGATCGTTCAAGCACAAGATAATTTCATTACGAACATTTGAAAAAAAAATTTAAAGTAAATCGGTTCAGTAGTTTTCCGCCAATCCTTATCACCGCAAAGTCATTTTTCAAGAAACACCATTTCGAGATATTCGCGTTTAAAGTTTCAAGTTCAGTTGCGGGCCGCTACGAGGCGCGCTGTTAGGAGCGCTGTAACTCTTTTTCTACTGCTCGAATCTCTATGAAAATTTGGGAAAATGTTCTCAAGGAGTTGTTCTTAAGATAAAGCAATACAAAAATGATCGTTTTTTTTGAAAATAAAAAAGGTATATAACCCCTTAAGAATCGAATGATATTCCTTGCAAAGTGGTACAATTCCGGTAAGCGGAGCCGGTGGGAATAGTGGGTTTCTGTAAATATATTTATTTCAACACCTGGTCATAGGGAAAAAATTTAAATCTTATGTATTAGAGAATTTATTGATTTGTTTTTATATTTTGTAGTTTTTACCTTTTTGTTAATATCTTTTTACCAATTGCTTGCATTTATTAACTGAACTTCAGTGAACTTTTTCTAAATCCTCAGCGTCGGTATTCCCGGTACCACCTTCATCGCAGCTTCCAAAAAAATATATTTAATCTTTGTATTAAGAGTAGTGCTCGCAAATAACTGATGACGGTTTTTCTTCTTGAGCTCTTTGTGCGAGCACAACCGAAAAAGTTCATACTCTCTCGCTCTCGCTCTAAGCAAGAGACTCTTGCTGTCCTCATTTAGGTTTTTTTGTTGAGCGCTTTTCGTTGTGCTCTTTGTATGTCGCTCTTTCAATAAGCAGTGCGTAAAGAGCAGAACGAGAAACGTTGGCACATTGAGAGTCAGCAAAAGACCGATTGACCGAAAAATACAACGCAAACGGTCTTCACATTTACTTTCGTTGTTGTGAAAAATAAATGTAATACATAATATAATTTGTTTAATAGAACAATTTAAATTAATTTTCAAATATTTTTGTTAACAAATTCCATTTCGATTCCATATTCCATATAACAAAAGCTATCAAAAAGCAATAAAAAGTTTCAGAAAATGTTGTTTTTAATTTTTTTTTGCATTAAACGCGTCCCCGACCCGTGGAAATGCCAATATATATTTTTTGTAACATTTTTTAAATATTCTATGTTAAGCCCTATACCTAGTAAGGCGTTCAGATTTTCTGCACTAATCGAACTTCTTCGTTCTTTTTAATATAAAGTGTAAGGATACGAATGCCCGTGAGACGGAAACTTGCACTGCATGTGTAGCCAGCACAACTTGCGCTAGTGCACTTATATGAGGAAACTTAAGCTGCAAGTTATTAAAAAATTTCAATATATTTCTGAATGCATACCAATACATAGTCTACATAGAGTATTTTCGTAAAGAGTCAGGAAAAGAAACTTATTTGCAGACAACGAGAAACGGTCGACAGTTATTTGAGAGCTCTGATTAAAAGAGATTCGCTTGCCTGCTCAGAAATTATGTGGTTTTGATACCAGTTTACTGGCTCGTCTGTAGAGTGAAAGATAATTGCAGTGAAATAGCGATAGTTTACTGTGTATTGTAGCCGCGCACTATTCTGCCTCTTGTTCTCTCACAACGTTGAGTTGTAGTCTTGATGGGCATCTGCAAGGAGGTTATCTTTTTCGGGCTTGAAAAAAAGTTTTTAAAACCCCAGCTGATGCGCTTCAGTGAAATTCATCTGAATATTCCCGAAAATTCCAAAATCTTTAATGCAGCACATTTAATAGGCAGACAGGCCTAGAAATAATCTAACCTTGAATACCCTCAGAGTAAGAGCCCAGTCTGCGTGCCTGTTATAGAAGTTTTTATTCTCTGAGAAAATGATTACGTCATCAACATAGATGTAACAGAACTTACCGATCTGCTCTCATCGTCAATTATTTTTTTTTTAATGTTGGCCGCGTTTTTGATGCAAAAGTCTTCGAAGGCGCCTTCGGTGAGTGGTATTTGTCCAACACCAAAAACATTTGTCGTTTGCCAGTTTCGTCAATGCTCATTATAGGGGGCCCTAAATTTTTTTAGGGGGACCATAACTTTTAAAAAAAATCAGCTGGGACCGGGTTTAGCTTGATATACGAGGAATGTGATTTTTTTTTGTGGCGTTATGTTGGTACTCATGTCTTTCACTTATGCCGAGAAGCTCGGCCATTTCAAATGTTCACTTAATTGTTGACAACTGCTTTGCTTGCACGTGTTTTGGATCGTCTTCAATTTTTACCTATTCAAAAAAATGGATCAAAGAACCTGTATCAAATTTTGCGTGAAAAAATAAAATTAAGTGCGTGGATGCATTCCGTATGTTGACTGTGGCATACGGAGAAGCTACCTTGGACCGAAGCAACGTTTATCGTTGGTACAAAATGTTCTCAGAAGGCCGAGAAGATGTGAACGACGAAGAGCGTGCCGGACGCCCGAGCACTTTAACAACAGACGAAAAAAACTAATGAAGTAAAGAAAATGGTATTGGCCATTGCATTGGCGATTGCAGGGGTATCGTTGGTACAAAATGTTCTCAGAAGGCCGAGAAGATGTGAACGACGAAGAGCGTTCCGGACGCCCGAGCACTTTAACAACAGACGAAAAAATTAATGAAGTAAAGAAAATGGTATTGGCCATTGCATTGGCGATTGCAGGGGCGTGGTGCATCATGAGTTCTTGCCACAGGGAAGAACGGTCAATAAGGAATATTACCTGCAAGTTATGCGCAATTTGCGCGAAGCAATCCGCCAGAAACGCCCGGACTAGTGGAAGAACAAAAATTGGCTTTTGCACCACGATAACGCCCCTGCTCACACATCGTTGCTTGTGCGCGACTTTTTGGCCAAAAACAATACACTAATGATGCCGCAGTCACCGTATTCCCCAAATCTGGCCCCCTGTGACTTTTTCTTGTTTCCTAAACTGAAGAGGCACATGAAAGGACGACGTTACGCTACGCTTGACGAGATAAAGACGTCATCAAAGGAGGAGCTGAACAAAATATAAAAAATTATTTTTGAAGTGCTTCGAAGATTGGAAAAACCTTTGGCACAAGTGCATAATATCTCATGGAGATTACTTTAAAGGGGAAAAAATAGATATTCATGAATAAATAAATAAATTTTGAAAAAACACAAAATTCGCGATACTTTTTGAACACACCTCGTACTATGTTTCTAAGCTGCCGTTTTTTCCGCTGTTGGGGGATTACCTAGAGACTCAGACAATGTGAAATTATTAAAGACTTAACGGCTGGCGGCTGGAGTTATTCATCCAGGGACGTATTTTCTTTATTCCTTGGTTTTTAAATTAAACTAAACATAAAGCTAACTGAAATGGAACTTCATAGCGGCCACGTCAATAAGCTGCGTTTACCGTCGCCCGGTAAACTTATGTACGACATTCTGGTAGACATTCAGTAAAAGATGGAATTGCAATTTTGATTATAAGCAAATTTTTTGAAAAATTTTATCCAATGTTCAAATATTTTCTCGAAAACGCGATAATTTTATGAAGAAATTTTTCAGATGTATGATAAAGCACTATCGGCTGGTTTCACCACCACTTACACGCTTATGATACACGACCTGTGAGGTAAGATATGGTTTTTAGTATGGGAAGCCAATTTTTCATATGCATATTTTAAATATTTTAAGTCCCAAATGAAAGTGCAATAAGCGCATTTATTAGTGGAGAAGATTTAGAAACACACATTTTTAAAAATTTCCCGATAAAATTGGAGGATTTTTTTTTTTGAAAAGCCGCTGTTTTGAACATTTTTCTCTTAATATTTCGTTAGCTTTATTTTTTTACAGTTTGTAGTATCAGTTATTTTTAAAACTTTACTACGTCGCGGGAAAATCAAAAAATTGAAGACAGTCCCCATGCTACATATTTTACAATTTGTGATGCCATTTTGCCTTAGATTAATTCTCGAGAAAATACAAAATTTGCCACTGGGTTCCTTTTTTCACCGTTCCCCAATCGACACAAAGTCAACGACACTATTTTGACGCAAATTGTGTAGGGCGCTGCGCACAACATACTTCTCATAAACTATTTGGTGCTGCTGTTGAGGACGGTATTAAACTTATTTCGTGAAAGTCAAAATTGTGAATAATGGTGCTACCTTAAGTTCAGATTGTACACTGTTCGCAAATTAAATTTTTTCAAAATCGGTTAAATGAATCTCTACGACGATATAGACACCAAGCCGCGATCCAGTCAGATTGACGGCTGGTCTTCTGGCATAAAAATGTTGCAGACCCAGCTGGCCATTAAAAAGGCCGTAAAAAAACCGGTAAACGGGTTAATGAATTGCACCAATCCCAACTTAAAAATGTATTTACTTTAGCTCATGACGCCGGTGGTGAATCTCAGAGCCAAGCGATCTACAGAGCTTGAAACTATTTCCTTTGCTCAAGTCTCTGCGACAACAACTAAGCCCATAATAACAGGTAAGGCTCTAGAGCCCGTTTTGGAAAATATGAAAGACGACTGGGACTTCTTGGACGAGTACGACCCGCAGTGGCCGAATGAATACGAAAAACTTAAAGAGAAAGCTAAAGGGATTGAAAAGTCTCGAGCTAGTGTTGCCGGAACTACGGGAGGATTCAATAGGGAAGAACGCGGCAAAGAGTGTGACAGGGAGAGGAAACGAGGGCGGACCGGTCGTCGAGAAATCCACAATGTTGACATCTCACCGCCAACTATTAAACTTATTGGGTTCGGTCAACGACAGAACGACGATGAAATGGTAAGCCCGCCGCCTATTGGGTCTGAGACAAAGCAGGGAGGAGGTGCAGCCATCGCTCCCCCTCTCTCACTTCAGGAGATATCAATTGAAAGTGCGGACGGATCTTCCAACGTCACCATACCGTATTCTGCAAGCTCGGTGGCTGCCAAAATAATGGCTAAATACGGCTTTAAGGATGGTCAAGGCCTCGGAAAGTCGGAGCAAGGTATGTCGATAGCCTTGCAAGTGGAAAAAACATCCAAGCGGGGCGGCCGAATTATTCACGAGAAAGATGTCGTAACGCAGCAACCTACTCTTCCGCCAACTTTTATTGGATCTCCAACGAGTCTGACCCCTAACCACGTTATGCCACCACCCCAGATTCCAAGCACGCTGGTTGCCAGCGGTGATTCTGAGCCCACCATTACCGAAATTATGAAATCGCCAAGCAAGGTGGTTCTGCTTCGAAACATGGTAGGACCTGGTGATGTAGATGTAGACTTGGAGCCAGAGGTGAAGGATGAGTGCAACACTAAGTATGGTGAAGTCAATAGCGTCATTATCCACGAAGCGTTTGGGACTGTGCCAGAAGATGCTGTTAAAATATTTGTGGAATTCAGACGAATCGAAAGCGCCATAAAAGGTTTGCTTTTTATTTTTCTAGTAAATATTAACTAATCGTTTCTTTCGCAGCTGTGGTGGACTTGAATGGACGCTTTTTTGGAGGTCGTCAAGTACGAGCGATGTTTTACAACTATGATAAATTCAAAAATTTTAATTTAAACTAGAGTTTATAAACACGAAACAGCATTATACGTTTTTTGATATATTATGCTAAGAAATATATGTAATAGTGATTTTTGAAAGATGCAAAATCTTCTCCCGGAGCACCATCTAATCACATTTTTTGAGCACTTTGCCGGTAATCTGTGGCGTCATGGGTAGTTTATTTTTGAAAGGTGCGGACAAAGCCTAATATTTAGTCAAGTTACAATTTTTATTTATGCATTTTAAAACGTTTTGACAACAAAAGTGAAAAATGGCTTTTTATTAAGAAAAAAAACAAAACAAATATTATATTTATTGTTAAGTTCGGCGAGTCAAATCCTAAATACCCTACCAGTCACAAATGTTAAACAAAATGCATAAAGGCTAAACAACATCCAAGCTAAGAAGGGTTTTCTATTAATTTTCTATATCGATTGTTCCTATGACAGTTAGAAGATATAGTCGTTAAATTTTCATGAAATTTAATTCGAAATTCCAGATCCGTTAGAAAGCTAAATAAATCAAATCATGTATTAGACTTCTGCATGAATGCACTCATTTGTGGCATAACAGATCTGTACAAAAAAGATCTGTTTTCAAAAACACTGCACTCATTCTTTACTGTACAGAATACTCTATAGGTCAGAAGAAGATAGCACAACATTTTTAGTGTACTCACCAGTGTTGCCAGATTTTGAGAGATAAAAAAAGCTAGATTGAAGAAAAAAATAAGCTAGAATAAGCTAAAAATTAAAAAAAAAAAGCTTAAAATAAGCTAACCATGGAAAACATTAAAATAGTTGATTTTTTTACTTTTAATAATACGATATTTATATAACTATTAAATTAAAGAAATAATTTTATCAACTTCCTCATTAGATTCATTATATTTTGCCGAAGATTGTATTAAAGCGAGGTATTTTGTTAGCAGTTGGTACTCATGGCAACATTTTCCATGACGTCGCAGTCCATATCTATAACATTAAAACAAAAATACTTTGTATTTTTTAAATAATTTAAAATTTCAAAAACAAACCTTATTCTTAAAATTGCGTTTAAGCTTTTTAAAGACATTTTGTTGCGCATTTTTGATTTAACAATGTTCATACTCAAATAACTTGGCCCCAATCGACACCTTACAAAAGCAGCAGTACGCTTTTGTGGAGTCAGTTGGCACTTTGGCAATTCTTCGAAATTTAACCAAGAATCGCGGAAATTCTGTTTGTAAGTCACTTTCGGCATGTTTCTAAAACGACGCAACAACAATCGCAAATCAAACATGTGCAAAATTTCAGTGTGACCGAGACTTGCTAACGATTATTATTAAAATACCAACAACAAAATATGCTTTTGTCCAAATTATCGATAAAAATTACCAAAAATTATAATACAATTTTTTTAAGCCAAAATTAGCTAAATTAAATTTGAAATAAGCCAGATTTTAAGCTATATGCATTTCAAGTATTTTTCAAGCTATTTCATTTTAAAATATGCTAAATCTAGCTTAAAATAAGCTAAAATGGCAACTACTCACTTCAAGTGAGTACAGTATAGGTATGGTTGTACTCTTCGTGAGGAGTACTATATTTGTCCTTTGTTAAACACGCTGTACAGCTTGTATGTTGACTGAGAACAACTGTGCAGATGAGTGCAGTAATTTTCTGTTGCCAAAAATTTGATTTCTGAAAATCGGTCAAAAATTGCCACCACTGAAGACTTAGTGAACAAAATAATGTTCCTTCATTCTAATATTAATAACTTATGTATATATAGATTTATATTTAAATCGAATTTAAATATAAATAATTTCTAAATTTTTTATTTTATAATAAATACATTTAAAACGAAAAAAATAAATCAATTTTTTAATCGGACATACTTACACACGAGAACTATACATATATGTGTGTATGTACCAGTCATGAAGTTTCACTTACTGTACAGTAAGTCAACTGCACACCAGTGATGCCAATTTGTCCTTTTTCCGGACAGATCTGTCCTGTTTTTAACCCTTCATCCGGAAAAAATTGAAAATCATCCGCATACCTGAAATCTGTCCTTTTTTAGATTCTTCATCCGGAAATCTGTCCTTTTATAAAATCTAATATTATTTACTTTCAAAAAGGGTAAATTCTGCCTATTTTAAATATATTTTCAATAAATTCTAAGATTAAAAGCAAAATAATTTCACAATATTCCAATATTCACCTAATAAATTGGGAAGATATTGAAAATACTTCAACATTTTGGTCAGAAGGGAAGAGGTATCGGGATTCTGCAGACAACAACCCCTATGAGGACATCTCAGTCTGCTTTCATTACTATGGTCAAATGCTGAGGTAGAGAGTTTTTAGCCAAGTAAACTTGGTGAAAACCAAAATTAGGTACCGTTTGGAGGTAGATTCATTAAATGCCATTTTGGCAAACAGGTAAATATACATACATATATTTTCAAAAGCTTACCGCTTATAAATACATGTATGTACATGTGTTTTTTCTTGAGATTTGGATTGCGTCGTCATAAATTATGTTGTCATAATTATAACTTGCCTGAAAAGTCTCTCCAATTAATTGGCTCCATGCCTACTTATGAGGACAGCAATAATGACGAAGGAAAAATAATGAAAGATGCCTTAAAACTATTATTTTAATAATAAAAAATAAAATTACTGTAAAAAAAACTTTTTGTCCTTTTTTTTTATCCTTTTTATAATATTTTCATCCTATTTTTCCCGTTTTTTTTTTCAATCTGTCCTTTTTTTTCGAAAAATTTTGGCATCACTGCTGCACACCAAAACACTGTACGGTGCGTTGACTACTGCACACCAATTTTTCTGTCCTGAGTGAGACTACTGTCAATCAAAACAGACAATACTACCCTATTCACTCACACCCAAATATACTGTGCACAAAAAATAGTGTGCCCACTTTTAGAATAAGTGATTCATTTGTCGTTTTGGATGCATTCATGCAGAAGTCTATCATGTATGATAAAAATGAAAAGGGGGGATCAATCCCCCCCCTTGGGTCTGAGAATTATAAGATGATAAAATCGAATTCCAGACATGTGTTTTAAGTAAGCATAACATTTTTGAAGCGCCAATATTTATTTTGTCTCAATGTGCAATACGGCAATTAATGGTAAAACTCTCAAAATTGAAAAAAAAAACACACATTTTTACGCGATAACTGTGCATAACCCCCTTCCCCCCATATCAAAAAGCTATCTACGCCACTGTCTTGATTCAATTATGGTTAAAAAACTCGATATTCGAAATCTAGCTGGCGAGATTAGATCAACTTTACACATTTGTTCCCTTTATTTTACATAATATTTTGGTCTCCTAAGGCAGGTATTTAATAAAGTCATCAGATTTTATTGAAAATCGGATTTTAAATTTAATTCAAGAGTTTTAAGAAAACTGATGAGCTAATAAGCTTTTTTATTAGCTATTGAAATTAAGACGAGAATTTGGTTTTGATTTCTGCAAAGGCAGCGATTTTATTTTGGCGAAAGCGATTGACAATAGTCTGCGGGATCAAAAAGAAAAAGAAGAATTAACAAGAAGATCCCTTCTTGTGGATCTTCAACGGTGTACACCAGTTTACTCCCTAGGTCCTAATGGGGAAAAAAAAGGAAAATATTTTTATACCCCTGCAGAGCAAAAGGATATTATAATTTCAGTCAGAAGTTTGCAACGCAGTGAAGGAGACACCTCAGACCCCATAAAGTATATACAGTGGTGGCCACTAGTTTAGCACACTATGCAATCCCCATTTTTGAACTCCAATTTCACCTTTCCCCGAAGATTTTTCGCCGAATTTTTTTTATATACGTTTGCTCTATTAATAGGACAACATGCACCGTTAATTTTGTACCATTCGCTTTTACCGTTTTTCTTTACCAAGCCTAAATACCTCAAAATCAGGCTGGACACCAGTTTAGCACACTCTTCAAATTTTTAGTTTTTGACAAAGTTAACTGATAATTCTTGTTGTCATTTAGAGAGTATAAAAATATGTGTTTGCAATCCCACCAGCTTCTAAGTGCTTAGAAGGACAGCAGGAAGTCATCCAGACTCTAAATCAGCTGGAAAAACGATTTTAAAGATTTCTGAAGACTTAAAATGTTCCCGCAAAATGGCTAACAATGCTTTAGGACATATTAAAAGCAATAAAAGTACCAAACCCACCAGGGCAAAACCCAGATCCCGAAAAACAGATGACAAAGAAAACCGACTTATCAAAAGTGCGTGCCTGCCTAACCAACTCTACAACAAACAATAACTTTGTGAATTTCAGAAAAAAATTGAACAAATTTGTGTTGATTTTTTGTGTTTTCCTTACATTATATTGATTTTTAATTTTCATTTTTGTTTATGAACACTCAACCAATTTTCATGAGGTTTGCGTGATAAATACCAAATTATTCCTGTTATTAATTTAAATCTTCTTTTACGAAAAAAACGAAAATATTTGGATTTATTGTGGGCAAAAAACAAATTATGTAAACTTAAATCTTCTCCAAGAGAGCAACTGAAAGAATGCTTACCTATCGGCACCACCACCTTTTTTGCGCCCAAAAGACCTTTTTTGACCAATAAACCATTAAAAGCCTTATAATTCTATTAAATTTTATTAATAAGCTCGCTACAATTTTAATATTTGCCGCATATTTTATAAGTATATGGTTTTGAAACGCCAGGTTGGCATAAGTCAGGGCACTAGTTTTATAATATAACATTTTAGTGAGGCTTCGATGAGGTTTTATTAATATACATTTCTTTTACGTCTAAAGGTTCTGACCTTCTTAGTTATTAGCTTATAAAAGTAAAAATATTATTAATGGGGATAAAATTTATAGTTATAGTTTCAGTAGTTCGCAGTTGTTGAATAATGATAAAACATATTATTCAATCTTAACCAAAATACAGAAAAATTTAACAAAATTAAAAATTGACCAAAATACAAACAATAAAAAAACAGACCTGTACTTTTAAACTGGACTCAGTATAAATGTTTCTTAAAAAAACGCTGAAAAGATCTTTTTACCTTTTGGTATGAATGGAATAAAGACCACGGCTCCCAAATTAACTTATTTTCGTTTTTCCATTTTTATATAATTTTACTGGAATTTAAAATAAAAGGTATTTGACCATCTTTACCCTTGCAGTTGAAACTAACGACTAGACTCATCACAAATTTGTTTAACAAAACTTTTTCTATTGTTAGTTTTATCCTTACGAAATCAGATCCTTTTTCATTAATTTTCCCATTTCTATATAAGTTTATTTATATGATATAGAATATTTATCTTTAAGAAATAATTTTTTTATACAATTTTTGAATTTTCGAATTGCGACTAGTAATGAAAATACGTTAAAATAAAAGTTTATTAATCCTTACCTGATTTTTGTTTCAAGTTTTGTGTGTATAATGAGCGAAAAAAAAACTTCCAAAAACAATTTTGCCAAATTATACAAATTTAGAACACGGAAGCACTGTACTCAGTGTTACGCATTAAATTTATATCAAACACATTAGTAGCACTTTGCTGCTTAAACAAAATAATTTTAAAATACAAATGAATTATTATTTGGGCATTTTATTGGCCCCTTAGCTTTCACGTTACTAGTTACTTTTAATTGTAGTTTTTATAGTTCTAATAAATTAAATTCAATACGTTAAACTATTGTGTTAAACAACAATAATAATAATCACATGTAACTCCATGCAGTTTTAAAAAGGTAAACAAGTGTTTTTGCGAAATTAAAAATTTTGTTTCAACTTTAAACTCCTGTCCTCAATAGGTTTTTGCTCGCGGGATGTACAGTTGAGTATATTTAAAACATTAACTACGAATGCCAAACTCATATGTGTTTTGTCTATTCAACTAAATCTATTTTATCTGTTTTTTCATCCATTAACCACAGGGGACACATTCCTAGCAGGCAGCCTACAGTGATACCGACAATACGTCCCTGAAATAAGGATATTTGTATTTAGCAGTCATAGAATCTAAAAATTGTAGCAATACTTACGTAACTGGATGACCGTTTGCTAGACTTCAGTTCAAATTGCGCTGGAGTCAGTTTAGGCTGCTTAAGACCCAGTATCTGGCAGCCGTTCTCAACGTAAGTAGCCATGGTGATTCCTAGAATGTCGCTTATAGTGTTGCCAAGACCAGCGGCGGCCATCGTAGATAGAGTTATAAAATGTCCCAAATAATATTCAATGTATTCGCCCTGCAAGTGGAATTAGATAGACTTGGTATTTTAAGTGACTTTCCAAACCTACTGCCATAATCATAATAAAGTTATCAAGAAATCCGAATGCGATGAACGGCACTGCATTCACAAAGAAAACTGTAAACATATGCCGAATTACTTTTTATTTAAACTAAAATACTTTTTTATACTCACTGCTGTATAATTGGCCCGCGGTGGGTTTAGTTGCCGATTCAACTGATAGGGGGAGAGGGAGAAATTTAATGGTGATGTTAGTCAATCACGAATGGCGATTTAAACTATATTTCGAGCACCATCCATAATCCATTAGCAAGATGATAACTTGGTAATTAGGACTCATCCAAAATCATCGTTGCTAATAGTTGTTATGCGACTTTGGGGAGATTTACCATTTAAAATAATAGTTTATGAAACAAGAGGAGGAAAAATATATTTGTATAAAACTGTCTATGTCAGCTCTTCTTGGATAATGAATGATGCTTAGTTGGAATTGGTGGTTAACATTCAAAAAAAATATTAACCATTTTACTGGCTCATGCTCTGTAGTACCATTACCGTATTAGTTATTACCCATTTTTTTTCGAAGCCAATCATCAGGCACTGCACAGAAAGTGCCTGCGATGACTTGACCCAACTCCGCTTTATTGGAGAGTCGTCCGAAGCGTGTACGCCAACTGCCAACGGCCAGTTGGCCTGCAAACTCAAGTACAGAGTGGTGTGTGTAGATGGTGTAGACGTTTGATTGTTTTAAGTTCCAGTGTTATTAAACAGGGTGTGGGGTTGATTGCAAATGTATTGGAAATCAAGAGAAATAAGACATAAATATTAAGGATAAACAATAAAAAGTAAAACATATGTAAAATAAGTTTGCTTTAAAATTGTGTGGATATGAAATGCTTTTCTATGTATAAGTTCAAGTATTGAATGTTTTGTGGTTATAAAACCATCTTAATTACACTTTTGATCAGAAACCGTAAACTTTAGAGGTTATATTGTCAAGTGTTTCACAGTAAAATATGCGAAAATATAAATAAACTTCAACTTATATCTATAGTTCGTGTTGATAGAACTTGCCACTGATTTTTCATCAAATAAATTTTAGTACTTTCGCACTCAATATACAAACGGCAAGCCAAGCTTAAGCCCCAAGCTCGCTGCCAACGGCAAGCCAAACTTTTAAATAAACATCCGACCGAATTGTCCCTTATTTTGGGCATCGAAATGTTTAATGCTAATCACAGTAATAATAATTGGGAATTAGCTTTGAAAACAAAACTTCTTAAAACACCGAAAACCAGAATCAACTCTAGCCTAAGCAGTTGTTAACTTCAGCGACAACCAGCTCTGCTAATAAGAAGGTAATGCTGATAACATTTTTATAACTAGCGTTGTGCACGCCCTATACGAAAATTTTGGAATAAAATATAATATAGTATGAAACGAAAGGGGAAACTAGCTTCGGCAAGCCGAAGCTTATATACCCTTGCAGTTATCAAATAAGTCGAACAATGTATATAAAGGCTAAACAACATCGAAGCAATGACGATTTTTTTAACCGCCGTTGTTTTTAAACCATATCGACTTGATTTCTTCCAGATAGTGAATAACTAACTACTATTGAATTTTTAATTAAATTTTATCAAAATCAAAAAACTATATCATATACACTGACGAGCAAAACTGTAACACGATTTCATTGTTTCAACTTCAAAGGTCTGTAACTTTTTTCTAATGCACGGATTTTGAAGATCTTAGTCTTGTTTTGTAGGTTCTATTATTTACTACTATTAAGTAAAATTCAAAGCCATTTGATATCAGTTAAAGAAAATGACGCGCCAAACTGTAAAAAAGTCAAATGTTACAGTTTTGCACTCTGGTTATTTTTTTAAGAAATATTTTTATTAATGATTTTTTAATAGTGAGTTCACATCCCCTTGGACTTTTTTTAGCTCTTCTATGCGTCTGGGCATTTTTTGGGTACACCGTCGTACCATTTCCGGGGAATATCATTCCATTCGCCCTGTTGCCGCTCTCACAACTCCTTCATTCCACTTGGAGGAACTGCATATTTCTCCAGCTGCGATTTTACATGACTCCACAAGTTTTCTGTTGGATTCATGTCGGGAGATTGTAGTCGCCACTTCATAGATTGAAATTTCTGTTTTGAAATCCAATTTTTTACCAATATGGACGTGTGCTTGGGGTCGTTGTCTTGCTGAAAAACGCATTTTTCGGCAGAAAGACCCAATTTTCCAAAATTCCTTTGGAAGATTTTCTTGTAAAATGGATAGATATTGCTCCTTTCGCATTATTCCATCGATTAACAACAAGGAACCAACTCCATTTAAATTAATGCTCCCCCAAACCATGGAACCGCTAGCGGTTTGTCACTCATTCCTTGGTGACTGGATCGTGGGATCTCTAGTCCAATACCAAGAGCGCCCATCTGACTCGAAGCGATTAATTTTTGTTTCATCCGACCATAAAACCTTGAAAACAAAAGTATTTTGGAATTGTTTGCTTTTTAAGACACTGGTAGCAATGAATTACAGTATCCCAATTCGCTATCAAGCACGGTGGCGGTTCCATCATGGTTTGGGGGAGCATTAATTTAAATGGAGTTGGTTCCTTGTTGTTAATCGATGGAATAATGCGAAAGGAGCAATATCTATCCATTTTACAAGAAAATCTTCCAAAGGAATTTTGGAAAATTGGGTCTTTCTGCCGAAAAATGCGTTTTTCAGCAAGACAACGACCCCAAGCACACGTCCATATTGGTAAAAAATTGGATTTCAAAACAGAAATTTCAATCTATGAAGTGGCGACTACAATCTCCCGACATGAATCCAACAGAAAACTTGTGGAGTCATGTAAAATCGCAGCTGGAGAAATATGCAGTTCCTCCAAGTGGAATGAAGGAGTTGTGAGAGCGGCAACAGGGCGAATGGAATGATATTCCCCCGGAAATGGTACGACGGTGTACCCAAAAAATGCCCAGACGCATAGAAGAGCTAAAAAAGTCCAAGGGGATGTGAACTCACTATTAAAAAATCATTAATAAAAATATTTCTTAAAAAAATAACCAGAGTGCAAAACTGTAACATTTGACTTTTTTTACAGTTTGGCGCGTCATTTTCTTTAACTGATATCAAATGGCTTTGAATTTTACTTAATAGTAGTAAATAATAGAACCTACAAAACAAGACTAAGATCTTCAAAATCCGTGCATTAGAAAAAAAGTTACAGACCTTTGAAGTTGAAACAATGAAATCGTGTTACAGTTTTGCTCGTCAGTGTAGCTGCCACAGGACAGATGGAAAAGTCTATATACCATAGAATTAAAGGAAATAAAATGATAACATCGTTGTTTTTCTTCAGAAAAACATGATGATTGGAATATGGAGTATTTTAATGACTCTTGAATTTCGAATAAAGTTTCATAAAACCGGACGACCATTTCATATAGCTGTCATATAAACAATCGTCGAAATTATAGAAAACAAGAAAGCTAAGACGATTTTTCTATTCATTTTCCATATTTTCGACTATAGATCATATGGGAGCTATATGATATAGTTGTCCGATTTTGATCAAATTTAATTCGTAATTAAAGAGTCGTTAAAAAACTGTATTGCAAAAATCTTGCTTGTCTGATGAAAAACCTTAATGTTATAATTTTATTGTCGTTAATTCAATATACAGTAGAATCCTGTTATAACGACTCCGCTTATAGTGTCTGTCCGGGTATAACGACGAAAACTCGTCGGTCCCTTGAAAGTCGCTATAAGCGGATTCTACTGTATGTATATTTCAATCTTTTCTATATATAATATATAGGTAATATATAATATATATATGTATATACAATTAGATATTTAAATTTCTGCTGACGTGCGTGTCTTATGGGGGCGATCTGCAGTTATTACTCTGTACTCAGACAGCGGCAAGCTTTTATAGCCTTTGACCAACCGGAAAAACCCTTATAAAAAATATTGAATAGTAAGTCGGAAATCAAAAGGTTATCTAAACGATTCATTTCACAGCTGAGCAAGTCTGTTCGCAGAGGCAAGTTCAGTAAGAGTCAAGGGTCCAGTCCAGTATCATGCAGATGACGACCGCGATCCTCCTCGGCACCGCACTGGTGAAAGGCTTGATGAAAATTAGGCCATGGCAAATTTCATGAGTGCAGCCGAGGCCTGTATTGTCAAGTTGGGTGCCGCCGACCTACAAGAATTAATTAAAAAGCAGCCTGCCAATTCCTATGCTGGAAAGAGCCTTTGTGTCTGCCATGGTACAATTATACAAGGTTGTCTCGTCGGCAAAAAGCACTCCGCTATTCATTACTCACAACAAGTGCGAGTGAAACGACAATTGAGCTTGTTGTTTAACCCTTAGGCTGCAAACATAGTGCGCGCTGAGACGAAGATTAAGATGAAGACGAAGCTGAAGACGAAAAACAGTGCAAAACAATTTATATAAATTCGCTCGTCCGTAAACATAGTGCGCGCAAAGACGAAGACGAAGACGATACGCAAGCAATCAGCTTCAAACGGTGCAGTACTGTTTTTGAAGACGAATCGCTTGCTTTTTTGCCTTTGTTATTATTTCTATCTCTTTCTATCCATGCTTTGGCGCAGCACGTGTTACAATTCACACAGGTATAATTGGGGTTTTGTTAAAATTTGTCCAATTTTTAATAATTAGCGGTTCAATTTTTTAACAGAATGTAATCAAATGTGCTGATTGTCATTCTGGTGTACTCCACAAAATTTTTTTCATCTAATAAATGATGAAATTCGCCGAATTTTATTTTTTGTTTTAAAATTGTATTTTAATTTAAAAAATAAACTTTCCTCCAACAGCAGCTCATCATCTGATGAGAAATCCATTGCGACTAACATCACAAAATCGCAATAAATTCGTCTTGCACTATGCAACCTATTAGCTTGCTAGCAACGCAAACAATTCGTCTTCAGCTTCATCTTCATCTTAATCTTTGTCTCAGCGCGCACTATGTTTGCAGCCTTAGATGGTGCATGGGGCTTAAATTGTTTATTTTTAGTAAAAGGAGTTGAAGTTTTTTATAAATTAATTTTTAATAGTTTTGAAATTGAAATTAAGCGTTGTTTTTGTTTTTGGATACCTATTTTTTTTGTTTAGGTTCTTAATTTTAAAAAAAATGTCACTCTTAAAGTAAAATTTTTTAATATCTAAACTAATGTTTTTTAGCAGCTATTAATAGTTTCTTTTTTACATTTTCTGTTATACTAAAATAATCTGAAGCTACATGCAAAAAATCAAAAAAAAGTTTGCAGCCAAGGGTAGAACGACATCTTTTCACAAGGGTTAATGCTCTGAAAAAAAAAATCGTCTGCACACTTGCTTTTCCTTCAACAAGCACGAATGCACTGATTAAAAACCGAACGATTAGTCAGCCGACGACACTACCTTGTATAATTGTACCATGACCTTGTATAATTGTAACATGGCTTGGCGCAAACGGCAAGCTTGATACCGACGACAGTCACGAGAAAGCTAAACAATACGTTAAATTTGGCTCTCGAAATCGGAGACACGTGTGCAACTATTAGTGTGCCGTCCGATCATTGCGAGGCTGCCGAAATATATGGTGCTTGTTTTAAGAGCGAGGCCAACAAACATGGACTAATGTAGTCGCGTCAGCAGCACCCGCAGTGAACCCACAAAAACCGTTTCCTGAAGAGACCCATACATACATACATACATACATAGGTTCCTTTTAGATAAAAAAAGTAACAAAAATAAATTAACTCACTCTCGTACAGCTTCTTTTCTTTGTCGGCGTCCATCTTGCCGAGGGCGCAGCGGAGATTGCTGCGCTCCTCTTCATCAAGGTTGCATAGCAGCTCCATTGCCCTCTCTGTGGACAGATGGGTGCTGAACTTAGAGTAGCTCCTGCGACTAAAAGCATTAGTACAGAAAGCTGTCGGATTCACCAGTTGCGTCCCCAAATGGTGGCCATAGGGCCGCCAATGACTAGTCGTTGTGGTCTTGGATTGTCCGACTAAATTCCTAAAAACACCGTGACATCGTTGACGCATTGTTTATTTTATATAAACCGGTTGGAATTTAATGTCTTCACAGTTACAATCAACGTTACGGACAATTAAAATCACTGTACAAAAAAGCACACAAGCGCAACACTCTCACACCCGCAACACTGGCCACCGACAGAAAAGTTCGTGTATATTGCGTGCATACAGATAAAAAGCTTTTCTACCCATCAGTGAAGTTCGCGAGAGAGATTTACACTATTGACAGTTTTTGAGAGCCTTACTCACAGGCATACTGACATAGCGTTCCGACAGACCAGGTTGAACTAAAGAATAACGTATGGTAACATTGAACTCACCCCCAACGCAAAATACTAAATGGCGCGGAAGTTTAAACTATTCAAATTGTTGAGACGCTGCAGCAAAATATTTAAAATTGGGGGTGCAAAATCAATTAATTGCGCGACCAAGAATTAACAAACCTATTATAAAAAACCTAATCAAACAAAAACCATCAATGCCAAACACAAATGTTTATCATTTGTGCATCATTTACCTAAGATTGGCGTCGGGGACTTAGCTTCGATAGTGGAACGGTTAAAAATGGAACAAAGACTCTTTTGCTTATATTATCTTATTTTGGCCAAAAAAATCCATACTAGGGATATCCCCAGTCTCACTCTTTTTTTATGAAATTATAGTAGAAGTCTGGTAGGAATTTGAGCGTTTCTTAAAAAAGGCACTTTAATGGTGAGTTTTAAAAAAGGTGGCGTATTGAAAACCATTTATTTGGACATATTTTTTGAGAAAACACTGCAAAGGATTTCGCCAGGAAAACTGTGGATAATAGTTCGCTGGAATTTTATTCAAAACTAGATCAATTAATTTTAAATCAAATGATGTACTGTTAAAAATGAAACACTTATTACGGGAGACACAGGATTTTTTTAAAAGTTAGCGTCGAATGGCATGGTGTATAGGTAATTATCAACATTGGGTACATTGATGGCTCGTCAATGTACTCATAATGACTAATCATAATAAACGCTTTATTATATTCTTAAATTATCACTCGTATTGGGCATTCAAAGTAATAGGTTGTTACAAAATTGGTCGAAATGAATAGCAAAGAAACGCGCGCTGAATTTATATTGCATATGAAAGCCGAATTTCCCCAAAGTATTTCGATCTGATGGGTCAGTTTTATTTTGTAAATATTCCAAGTAAAACAGCATATTGCATCATTGAAATACAAAGCTGCCGAAGATAGAAGGAAGAAAAATGCCGATCAGGGAAGCCAATCGGATCTTGCACTAAAATCAGGACCACATTTGTTGGAGTTCAATGTATGTAGATCTGTGCAAAACTTTAGTTTTGCAATAAAAAACCGTTTTCCCAACATATTTTGGCTAGTTTTTGCATGATTCTTTCATATTTTTTTTGTATTTTTAAATGCATATTCATGAGCATATTATGCTTTTTTTCGTGCATATTTGCATGCATATTTTGACCTTTATTCGTGCATAACTATCCGATCTCTAGTAATTATACCCACTGTTAGAATATTATCTCAACAAATGTGGAATATTTTTTTAAAACAATTTTCCTACTTAGTCCCACATAGGTATACCGGAATATTGGTATGCGCTGTGTGAAAGACACTAATTTCGAAGTCTAATTTAAGAAAATGTAAAACTGCCAATAATTTTATTATGAAATTTCCTGATATATACAAAATCTGTGAGTGGTATAAATTCTGTGAATGTCCGTATTTCCTCTATTATGGTGTACTACTGCTAAACTTTGAATGTGCACAAAAGTCATTTCCTCTATTATGGTGTACTACTGCTAAACTTTGAATGTGCACAAAAGTCACATAATATGTCGTTAGCATATTCTTAAGGGGGGGTAAGGTTATAAAAATTTTTTTTTTTATATATTTTTTTTTTTTTTTTCTGAATGATTAATATGTCGAGAACATTGTGTAAAAATGTTGAGTCAATTAAAGTCAAACTAACGGAGTTACAGCGTTTTAAACAACCGTATTTGGGCGTATTTTCACGTATAAAATACTTTGAATCGATTTAGCCGAACACGCTATTTTCAAAGTCGGTACCCCTCATAACTTCAAAACTACTGCACCGATCCTTTTGAAATTTTAAAAACTATTTCTGTACATATTTTAGGAGGTAACGCTGTCAAGTTTTTTTTTTTTGTTCATAATTTTGATTTCGCAATGACAAATTAACCGATTTGTTCCCAAAAAATTGTGTTTTTCACTTCAAAGTTTTCGAAAAAATTAAAAAATTTCAATTTTCAAAAAACCTTCACAGCGTTACCTGGGGCGAACTATTATCTAACGAATGAACTTTCATTTTTTGATTTCATATGATCCAGCACCGAGTTATGAGGGGCACCGCAATTCAACTTTTTTTGGCGACACGTCCGGACAATTGCTACCATTGCCATATTTTTTAATATTTTTTTGTAAAAATTTGATAAAACATTCTTCTAATGTCATACTTTAATATACCGTTGGTTGAATAAATAAATTTTAACTGTGTCGTCAGGAAAAAAATCACAAAAACATGGCTTTTTTCGCATGATTTGACCTTACCCCCCCTTAATTCTTATTCGTAAAAACCCTGCATAATATGTCGTTAGCATATTCTTAATTCTTATTCGTAAAAACCCTGCATTTAAAGTTTTAAATATCAAATTAATCGCCGTTAAATCACCAACGCTTTAAGGCATGATCTCACCTTGTAGGAAGAAAAAAAAAACGATTTTTGTATGCTTATCCTGTAGATATAAGTTAACTAAGATAACCGGGCGATGTCGATTACCGATCGTCAGAAAGCTTTCACCGGCCAAAATGCTGACACAGCGTCTGGCCGCCGTTGAGTTGTAGGAGAGAATTTCCGACAGAACTATACTCGGACAACGGAACCAACTTTAGGCGAGCAGACAAAAACATTAGATAAATCATGAAAGAGTGGTGAAATGACAAACTTACTCAGCTTTTAACAACAAAAGGTTGTTCCTGGTATTTTAATCCATCCTTATCTCCTCGCATGGGAGGAGCTTGGGAAAACCTCATACAGTAGGTTAAAAAATATTTGTTAGTTTTACTAAAAGAGAGATATCCTAGAGAGTATACTTTGAAAAGCGGCATTGCCGTCGATTGTCAATTTTGCGCACCCGAATCGGCCAACCAGGTATAGAGTGTAAATTGTTGAAAGTTAATCTGTGGCGTGTTGTAAAATTGTGTTCGGCCAATCTTTCAACTTTTTGCATTCGTGTAAAAAAATCGGTAGCTAGTGAGCATTGTGACGCTCCGCTGCCACAATAAATGATAAATAAAGACACCAAATACAAAACACAATAAGAAACTCTTATTTCAAATGCGCGGGCAATCCCCTGATAAAGCGATAGATATCGATAACTATCGGCTTCCGATCCGGGAGCGAAGCAGAGTAGCATTGGATTCCTGCTGCATGACCCCACCTAAGTATAGCGTTCCCTAACGGACAATCAGAACACGGCGTGACAGCGGAATCCCTAGCCGATCGACAGCGCACCCAACCGGCTTCAGCCGTAGAAATTAACCCGGCTTTTCAGCCGCTCTGAGCACCCGGCTCTTTAGCCGTAGAAATCAACCCGGCTCTTCAGCCGCGCTTCGGGGACTCATCTAATTGCTTAAGGCTATTAAACTGCGAGTCCAGCGCTAAGAGTAGATCATTAGCCTTGGCAAAACTATCCCTAGCTATGCCAAAACTAGTGATCAGTCCCTTAAGGCCGCCTTTAGTTTGGCTCATGAAGGACTTCATTTCCTTCGCAACTTCGCGACAAGGTTCACAGCAGAACTGCAAACCAAGGCCTTTACTAAGATCGTCACTTGTCCGCTCTGTGAATCCAGCGAACTTGGTGTGCACCATCTTGTCACAAAGCCAACAAGTGAGTTTAGCCTGCTCAGGCTTTATTACCTGTGTTTGTGGGGATGACAACGAATATGCCACCCTTGTAAATAACCAAACGCACAAATAGGTTTAGTTAATTTAAGTGTATGTTTATTTGGAGTTGCAACTCTTATTTTTTCGTTTTCGATTATGTGTAAAATGCAAGCGAGATAATTTGTGTGTTTGATCTGAGGTTGACTGAGGTGAAATAAGCCGAAAGCGCGGCTTCTTTATACCGTCGCTTTGACTATTATAGATAACAAACTTAGATAAACAAAGAGAGGCTTGAAGAGCGGCTCCTAACTCCCTACACCCATGTGCATCAAATTAGGTGCTGGCTGTCTGCTCCGAACAACCTGAAGGCAGGTTTTTTTAAGCAGACATTGTAGGATTCTATGTTTATTAAATTACGGACCACTGTGCCAAGAGAAAATGAAATCGAAATTTTTAAGCGAGCAACTCAAATGTACCGCAAGAGCGTATAAATTGCACGCTGAGAACTTTCGAGTTTGTTAGTACAAAAAGAGAAGAGCGGGAGAGCGGGACAGCGGAACAGTTAATGTGCATGCACTTGTAACAACAACACTACTGTTGACGGACGAAAGAAAGTCAGTAAGACAAAAATTAAATCGTTAAATAAACACAATATGCACAAAAATTCACTCGCGAAGGGAACGGTTTCGAACACAAGGGTATTTAAGTAATTAAATATTCAAATTTAAGAACAGAACCACCGCTGGTTGTATCAATAAAATAAAAAATTCGGAGCGCACAAAAAAACACGACCGTTCACTTGAAAAGAGAATCTTCAGTGAAGATGCCGGAGTGAAGCAGCGCCGGACATCGACAATCTGTCGGCCACCCTGAGTGCCGAACAACACCGGCCCTACACATCTCGGCCCGCCAAAGCGCCGAGATACCAACCAGACTATCAAAACCAACCAGACTATCAATACCCCGTAGAAGTAATTACAAATAAGCAAATACGAGGTGTGTTCAGAAAGTATCGTGAATTTTGAGTTTTTTCAAAAATTATTTATTTATTCATGAATATCTATTTTGTACCCTTCAAAGTAATCCCCATGAGTTATTATGCACTTGTGCCAACTGTTTTTCCAATCTTCGAAGCACTTCAAAAATAATTTTTTTTATCTTGTTCAGCTCCTCCTTCGATGCCGTCTTTATCTCGTCAAGCGTAGCGTAACGTCGTCCTTTCATAGGCCTCTTCAGTTTAGGAAACAAGAAAAAGTCAAAGGGGGCCAGATCTGGGGAATACGGTGGCTGCGGCATCATTAGTGTATTGTTTTTGGCCAAAAAGTCGCGCACAAGCAACGATGTGTGAGCAGGGGCTCGTGGTGCAAAAGC